CCCATAAAAATCATATATAAATGAAACTCGAAATTTAATATGTTATAAGGGTAAAAAAAATAGCCTGAACTGTTTTCAAGTGACTCAACAAAATATGAGATATTTATTGATCTGCTGTGTTTGAGGTGAGTGACCTTGCCATTAAAATTGCTGCAATTTTATGGGGCGGTTAGTATATATATACACACAGTAAAATAAAAAGTATGTTCCATACCCATTTTTTTGCCGCATGAGATGTATCCATTAGTTCATCTATTGGCATCATTATTACCTCATTAGCCTGAGGCCAGTGCGAATCCTAATTTGTCCAACCGGTTGCTATTGTTTGCAGATATACTTTCAGGGTTCAGCCCATCTTAACAAGATCTTCTTGTCTGCAATGCAGTCTACCCTGCTTTATATTCTTCCCGGGTTTGCTAATTTGAGAAATATGTTTTATTAGGCGAATGCATCCTTTAATTGTGTTGTATTTCATTAATAGACATGGGGTTGAGGAAGATGGGGGAAGGCTAGATGCAACGAAAACTGCAACAAAGACCAAAGATCCCCCCACATCCTGAATACACTTTTTGGGCAAGTGGTGTTAGCGAGCACCAATGAAGGCCAGCATGGCACACGAGGGGGTGGGTGTCCAGCACCACGCCCGGCCGCCTTTGTCTCCCTCGTGGTAATGTTTACACACCGCACCAGGTTCTAATTTTGGGCTGAGTCGACCTAGGGGAGGCCCAGAAGCAGTTCAGATAATCGAATTCGGGTTTCCGAGTTCGTAGCGCAGTGCGCTAACGGCTACTCACACCCACACACACGTGTGTGCGCGATACAATAGGGGAAGTGAAACTCTTCTTGAGCCGTATATTAATACGGAGGGACACTGCTGTGTCGTGGCAGGTAGTGCACTGGACATGACATTCTGAGATTGCTGGTTCAATGTCCACTCAGCAAGAGTTCACCGCAGTGAGGAGATCAGCATGGAGGGGTAAAATGTGGGTACTCTCAACTCTTTCATAATGTGTGACCAGTGTGGAAAGAGTAGGCCAAATACATTCTCGAGAGGGGGGGGGGCTCTCTCTTGAGCTGCCTCTGGTGAAAGCCCTTTCGTCAGTAGCGGCATGAGCAAGAAATTGCAGACCTGCACCTTTACCTCATATTAATACTGGGGATCAGTGACACAGTGGATCTTCACTGCACTATAAACCCTAGCAACTTGAGTTTGATGATCCCAGACCATCGTTGATACTGCATTCGTGGTGAGTGATCTCTGAGCCACGGTGGAGTATTGTCAAGGAAGCCTTCATCCAGCGGTGGATTGAGAATTATTTGGTTTCATTTAACAGTTATTTTGTCCCAATATATAATTATATTATCCATGCATGAAGATGGATGTTTATTTTTCCTTAAAATCGTGATAACTAACGTGGGATCTTTGATGATTCTTAGTATTTTACATTTCAATATTCCCTATCAATAATTTAACAAATGTATTTAACACATTGTGTAATTATTACATTCGTATATTTGTAGTGGAGTAGGAAGGTGCGTAGTACAAACAGCGTGATTACATGATCACACAGACAGTACGGGTTATCTTGGGTCAGCCTGTAGTGAAGGCGAATACAGTGCAGGTTATGTTGGGGCAATTAAGCTGGGAGGGCCGTGGACGGCTGTGGTGGGTTGGAGCTGTTGCCAAGGCTGGAGGGGCGTCTAAAGGTCTGGAGGAGAAACAGGTGTACGGTCACGCGGAGTGCCGTTGGGACGCGGACTAATGAATTGGGGCGTAATGAGAGCGGGGATAAATTGTGGGGTCGGCAGTTGGAGTTTGGAGAGCTTGGAGACGGAGGTGGTTGAAGTTGGGGAGCTTGGAGCGAACAGCGAGGGAATTGAAGTTGGAGTCAACAGCGGGGGAATTGAAGTTGGAGTCAACAGCGGGGAATTGAAGAGTGGAGAGCTTGGAGAGAGCATAGCGATAGCGGAGCTGAAGACGAGAATAGCCCACAGTGGAGATAGCGTAGCGATAGTGAAGCTGAAGACGAGAATAGCCAGCAGTGGAGTGAGCATAGTGACGGTGATAGCGGTGAACAAAGACGAAGTAGTTAGCAGTGGAGAGAACACAGCGACGGTGATAGCGGAGAGCAGAGACGAAGAAGTTAGTGGCGGAGTAAGCGAAGTAATCGTGGGGAGTGGAGAGACAAAGGTGGCGAGTGAGTCGAGTGGAGCAAGGCGAGCGAGCCGTGGCGACCAGGATACTGTGGAATGTGGAGGACATGCTGAGAGTTGTAAATAAAGCGGTGTTCGGAGAAAGACGGAAGTTGTCCGAGTGAAATCAAACACCACATATTGAACGCGAACAAAATAATATGGCCGATAGAATTACATCAAATATTACATCTAGAGACTCTGCCTTTTCTAGTTGAGGTTGCCCTGTTCTGAGCTATGTCGAAAGTCACGTATAAATTGTTAATAACACTGAAGCCATTGCTTAGCAAATTATTCATATCAAAAAGTAAAAAAATACAAATGATAGGCAAGAATCTGAATTCATCATTTAAAGTTCCCTCTTTCCACATAATTATTGTATTATAATGTTTTAGTCTGTCAGCCAACGGTCCTACATCACCAATGTTTAATAGCAGTATTTGTTTAAGCAGTCAAGTTTTGCACTGGCTTTGACCTTCCTGGTCTCATCAGCAGCCGAGCCTGTTGTGTTGCCAGATGTTATTGGCAAGAGCCAACCACTGACGTTATGGGGCCCTGGACCCCATTTAACTGGTTCACGGTTCCCTGCCAATGTAAACGTTTCTGGAATTCATTAGTCCAAAGGCACGTAAACCGATGGACTGAATGTTATTTTTTTTCATGTTGACAGAGAGATGGACATTCATTATACGTATGCATTGCTATGTTGCTCATGATCGTCCACAAATAAAAAACAGTTGGTAGCCTAGCATTTTATAATTCCTATGATCATCATCGGCCATGATAAATCCACTGCTGAATGAAGACATCTCCATCGATGCCCTCTCTCATGGCGTTACCATGTTAACAATCCACCCATCACCCACATAAACGGCTTTAATCACTCCATCTCCATTACAGACTTCTTCATAGAGACATTACCATTCTTTGACTACCACTCCATCACTATTCTCGATAAGATAAAAAAACAACCACTCAGTATAATTGGTGCTGGCCTCCGATTAGCACGGTTGGCTACGCACGGTGTGAAAGAAGTTCAAACACGCGTACATCCCAATGCTGAAAATGTACCTGCAAATTACTAAATTTGGATTACACGTAGTAACATTGTCTACTGCTACTGTAAAGACCCGGAAGGACCATCCTGAAAAAGATAATCGAGACTCAGTGAGGCTTTCCTGAGCAAACCATTTTAATAATAATTGGTCATCATTCCTTGCAGTAATGTGTCCTGCCCCAAGCGCAATAAGTTTTTTTTAGCAACAATTTGAATCGGAAAATCCAATAAGCCAACATACCTCATGTCTACCAAGCTGCAACACAACATCCCATACATGTCTAATCTGTGCATAAATCAATATTACTTCTACTTTTATTCACTCAATAATTATGTAAAAATGTCCTTTGCGGGAATTTTTTTTTATTGTACTGAACTTTTTTTTACAACCTTTGAAAATATGTTGTATAAGTAAATTACATTATAAACTGTAGATGACTCTAATTAGTTTATGCACAATGTGAGCAAGAGTACCACCAGGATTTTAGTGGCTCTTAAGATGAATGGGACATTTAATATCAAAACAGCAATTCTGGTACGCAGGGACCTCTAATACATTATTGTTATTTTTAAACCGTAAGCTATTGCATGCCTGCATACACAACAAGCATATTGTGGTTCCCTAGGTGAATGTGAACATAGTAAGGGCCAATTCCTTTGATTTGCTTTGAGGAAATAGCCTGATTTTTGTTACGTACTACAGCCAGATAAAAGCAAATTAAAACTCGACGTATTATCTCGTACTGTTCACGTGGAATAAAGCACACATCTAAATTAATAAAGCACACATCTTAATTAAAAGAAACACAAATCTAAATTAATCGGCCCATACCGCCCAGTTCGGGCACACCACTTTGGGAAAATTCCTTTGTATAAAAATTTATGGAAGAGAAAGAAAAAAATAACACTGATGAAACTGTGAGAAGGATCGCATCTGTTCCGTTGTAACAGGCCCCACAGTTTTGTTTAAAAAATATTTCCACGATGTTTTGTTCTGCAAATAAGCTTACATTTTAAGGATATTGTCCACGAAATATTTTTTTTATGTTTTACATTATATTATTTACACATTGAACATTGTACGATACTACATAGTCTATTGGTAACAATTGACCCAACTTAGGGACATTTGCAAAGGCAAGATAGCTCATAATGTCATTTGCTATTAACAAATCCATAAACTATGTGTGACATTTTTGGCCTTTCGCTTGCCTATTTAAGACCTTAAGCCCAGGTTGTTGCAAACGTGATAAATCAAACTGGGCGATAGTATATGCTGTGCAAGCCACTACACCATTACCACAGTATTTAAATTTGCATATTTAGTCACTTTACAGGTCGTGGCAAACATGCCTTGTGTTATTCATGGGCAGTTACTTTAATTAAAGGCATCCCCACTGGAAAACGCACCTGCGATATAATTGTGACACACAGCCACTCCACACTGGACATTCACATAGCGAGTGATCACGTTCTGAATTCATTAGTTGAGCTAATCATCATTCTCACCAGCTATTGTTTATCCACTGCTGGATGAAGGCCTCTCTGTGCAATCGTCATTCTTCATAGTTCTGTGATGCCACAATCCATCTCACTGACACAAATAAACAAACTGATCTCATCACTCCGTCTCCACAGCCGTGACCGTAGCATCATTGAAGTAAACCTACTTAAGCTATTGGGGTCACAAATTTATCCGGTTTAATTATAATGAACATTAGGGATATTTTTACACTTTAAATGTGTGGTGGATTCCATCGATGAGTTGTCGGCTCAATTTGGGAATGAAACTTGAAAAACATTGAGAAAACCGATGCTTGTGAAACTATACAACTCAAAGCTCCACACACAAATGTAAGGCAATACGCCATCCACCTCGCAGCATTGTGGGTCTGAGAGTTCCATAACGGCATTGTGTGATGCACAAACCCTTACCTCCAAAGTGCTATGTCACGGGTGCGTGCCACCGCATGCATGCATATATGCTGAACTTCTTTCGCACTGCACGTAGCCAACCGTGAAATCCAGAACAACTGTTTGTTTAAACACAGTCTATTTAAACCACTATTTCAGTGTGGGAAACACTCCATTCATGTGTTCGCCTTTCAACGCGCATTTTTTTTGTTAAGGCCGAATTAATTCACTTAAGGCTCGGTTGATATGGTTTGCATTTTCCGACTCTTTAATATGGTAAAACCACTGAGTGATCTTGATGAGGCCTGGGTCACGGGGGTTGGCAAGTGTTAATCACACACACACACGAATGTGCACTTGATCAGCCACTCGTAAGAAGAGAGCTCCAACCCTCCCCCTAAGGTTGAGGAACTAGATTTACTCAGTGCATCGTTGTCAATGACGAATATGGAACATTCATCTTATGAGTCATTGTTACAACTCATTTACATAGGGGCCAGCACCGCATCTGCATTTCCATTGATTAAAATAATCACGCGCCGCTATATTGCTGTGTTGTGATCATAATGATACAAGTTTAATTAAACATGATAACATCTTATATATTTTGTTTGGTTTTTTAACAAATATTTTAAGCCATTTTTCTCGTTTTAAATAGCAATTGTCATAATGACCATCATCAGCCATGGTCAATGTACTGTTGAATTAAGGCCTCCACACATTTTGATATCATCATATGTTATTTGGAATTAAATGCACAACATATATATCAAATTCAATAAAAAAATGCCCCGGTTTCTTGCAGAACAGATATACATATTTTATTATTCACGGTATAATAAATAAATAAAAATACATACATTTTGCCCAATACCTTGTATTCCCAGTACAATTATAAAGTGTCAATATTTGCAGACATCAATGTCAAAGTCAAATTGGCAGCATTTAAACAGCAGGAGTAAAAGTAAACAAATTCAGTACACATGTGGATTGAAGTTGCAATATATTTAATATTGTAAATAATATCGTTGATCTAGTTCCAATGTAAAACTTTCAGCAAATTTAGAGGCAAAGCCATTCTCCGGGATGCGTCTGTTCCACACGAGTGGTGCGTCTGCAGCAGACAAGAGACGCATTAGGGAAACAGGGAACAATATTTAAGCATCTGCGCATCCAGATTGGCAGGCCACCTGCCGCAACAGACTGGCGAGATGGCTACCGAATAGATGAATCGCTGTTGAGCAAAATAATTATAAAATAATGAGGAGGGCTGCATTTGGCAGCTTTCACGCTGTCACGGGCCTTCTCTAGGACACCTGCAATTAATCACTTGGAATTAAATAAGTGTTTTTTTTTATAATGGGAATTCAGTGGTGTTGAACGAATGGCAGTTTTACATATGAAATCATAGTTTTAGAACAAAGAAAACCCCACACCCCTTGAAATTGCTTTGTAGCTCTATAAAACATTTATTTGGACTTGATTGAGTTTTCATTAATCTATTTTATAATAATTGCTTCCAAAATTTAATGCAAGTGGCTTAATGCCATAATTTAATTTGTAAGGCACAGTGCTAGGTCACTTTAGCAATATGCCACTGATAAAAAAAGAAAAACCCGTTCAGTTTTATTCCAGCAGCAATATTTGTATTTATTTAAAATGGGAAGGCTGTATATTGAACCTTCACTAATATCCTTGTAGATATTTTTCGAAAAAGTTTTTTTTCAAATGAAACAAAAGCGTAATTTGTTGCAAGTAGCAATTCTGTGGTATAAAGATTTTGTCAATCAATTGCAGGATGACTATATCACCACGCCATGTCAGTCGTGGGAGTTATTTGACCATACTTCACCACACTGGTAAGTTTGAGCTGGTGGGGTGGGTGAGAGGCAGGGTTCAGGACCGGTTCATGTACCACTCATGTTAGCGGTGGCCGCGATTTTACAATTTAATCAAATTTTCTGAAATGCTATTAAAATTAAAACGACGTCTTCGAGAGGTCAATGACAACAGTTGCGCTTTTATTTGTGTGGTTTAAAAATAAATCAAAACCATTCCAGAGTTTCAAAAGCTTACGGGTACTAAACATTTTAACGACGTAAATACAATACACTTCTACGTACAGCCCTCACATCGGAGATGCGTGGGAAGGACTAAAAACGAAACTTTAAATCCAGTTCTAAAAAAAGGAGCTTTCAATCCAGATGATTTAAGAGTGCATCGCTCCAGTGGCATCCTAATATCAGAAGAGCGTTTTAGACGACCGCAGGAGCAGCATCTGAACGGCTCGCGATGCGGTGACCACCGGCTTTGTTCGACGGTTAGCCAAAAGCCGCTGCGAGGATGACCGGAGATCGCGTGATGGTTTATGCCCCTTGACGAGATCAGCAAGGTATTGTGGTTCATTTGTGGCAAGCACTTTGTGTATAATGAGTGTGACCTTATCATGTATTGGTTCGGCAATCGGAAGCCAATGCAGCTCAGCGATAGGCAGCCTGTAACCACACAAACACAAGGGACGTCAAAAAAAGGATAAAACAGATGGTTGATGAAGAGGTTGATGATGAGGGATAGATTCATAACAACAAATTGACATCCTCATTCATGTTGTTATCAAAGCTCTCAGAGTATGGTCGTGAATCGGACCCAAGGCATGAAAAATTTCCATTTCTTACCCATCCTCCAAACGCACCAGAAATAGCAGAATGCCCGTGTCATCTGCAGCTAATGTAATTAATTGAATGATTAATAATCTTGCATTCATTCATTAAATATCTTCAAACAGGGCACCGCAATTAATTTCCACCAGCGGTTTTTACGGCATGGCCCGATCTCACCCTCTAGAGGCAATTGTACACACTGCAGGCAAATTTGTCTTGTCACGATGTAGCCACACAATGGCCAAGTCAACCCACGATGCATTCCCCAAATTGTGCATTAAAAATTATGCAATTTTATTCCGCTAATTTCATTTTGAAATGGCTTACGAAATAGCGTTTTTGTTTGCTTCGTAAATGTGTTGCACAATTGCAATGTAAAACCCAAAGAGATGAAACGTGAAAGCAAATGTTGCCGTGCTTGATGTTTGCTTGTTTTCCTGTAAATATGTGATGTACATCGTTCCTGTACACTTTCAAATGTGTGCTCATTTACTGTTACTGCAGGAAAACCTACGCTGCCTTGGAATATTTATGTGCGTGTACACCATACAGAAATGCAAACTGCAGTGAGGGTTTCAACAATTTGGAAAGCACTCTTTATACATATTCTGTACATTGATCTTCAATATAGAACTCTGTGCATCAAATGGAAATACAACATTATATTTGCCACGTGTTAAATGTAAACACTCGTTCATTGGCTGATTGCAACTTTATACGTAGAGGACCGCAGAGGTCGGGTGATTGTGGGCACCGGACTCGACACACGGCTGCCTTCCCGCTTGTTTGCGGCTCATCGCGCCTCCAGGTTAATTTTCTCTCAATGAGACCTTGAGAACACCGCGCCTCACATGGCCCGTGTCTGGTTATGAACGCGACAAAGGTCAACCGCCACCCGACTTCCGTTTTTTTCTTCTGGATCACTTGGCTCAGTGGTGTGCATATCAACGAAACCCTTTGGCCAAGGTGATGAGTGTACGGAGATGCAAGTCGCAGCAAAAGGCACTCGTGCGGTGAGCCTAGAACATTGTATGTCAATCCAATGAGCTCTTGCTCCCGACTCAACGTTCACTCACGCGTGCCACTCCACTCGTCATAACCGCTCCGAGTGTCTGGACACGAATGCGTTGGAGGCCACCTTTTTGAGGAATGTGGGCAACAGACCTATGACGTAACACAATAGCCCACAGACACAAATATATACATGGGGCATCTTACCTGTGGTAGGCGCACTTCATTTTTTTCTTGAGCTTTGGATTTTTTGCAAAATGTATTTTTACTTGTAAAAAGATATAGGAGTATGCTCGTAGTTCGGATGAAATCTATATACATACATTACATGAACATAAACACTAAATTTAGATGTTGCATCTTTGTTGTATTTCGCAGATTGTATATTGCGCATATGAGCAGTCAAATTTTGAGTGTGCTTCGGCATCCTATTAATAATGCAATACATTTATCAGAATAAACCACTAATCTCCCAAAGATAATGAGATGAACAGTCTAGTCAATTCATGCAGTGGCTACTCAGAGAAAATTGGTAAGAGACAGCTTGCATTTCACACTATTATGTATTAACATGCTGCCCGCCTTCAAATAGTTTAATTTGTGCATATGTTGTACCTGATTTGCTTACCTGCATGATACTTTTCACTCCTATCCGTTTTTTGTGCTGTTGTAACGTTCTGACCTAACCCTACTGGACACGTGTGAAAAATAGCTTTTTAGCTCATTGGATTCCTCCAGCATAAATAAATATTCTGATTCTGATTGTGAACCACTCCCACTGACTGGCATGGTAAAGTATGGGGATATAACCTCCACCACCAAAATCGCACGGAAAAGCCCTCATCTAGCAGTGGAATGACAGAGATGTGCAGGGTGATCCAGATGTCTTGTGACCCACAATTAATTGACCCCTAACATGTTTTGACCTTGGCATATTCATTTCTGTTTTTAAATAAACCTTTCTTTAAAATATTAAGTCTTAGAGGATTAAATGGGGGGTCACAAGACACCTGGACCACCCTGTACACTGAAGACGCATCGGCCAGCTCTGGTATCCGCGACCATACGGAGGTAGTTGAGGATTGGCTATCGACTTGACAATATTTATAGAAGCTGTGGAAGTATCTCGACCTGCTGTTTCTGATCAATCCGCCATGCGGGACGAGGGTGGAGAGGGAGCACAGAAAAGGGAGGGGGGGGGGATAGAGAACAGCAGGAGCTGAGTGGGCACAGCAGGCATCCAGGGTAACAAGGGACACTGTGAAGAACTGATTTTCTGCCACCAAAACATATCCCTCCACGTCGCAGCAATTGAACACTGAGCAGACGCCCGCGACCATCACTCTCACTCTGCCCCCATTGTCATGCGACTCAGCCAATGCTATACACAATGTTGAGGCTTAATTTGCAAAAGGGTTTTATTTCTTTACAGATACGTATCTAAAAAAAGGACATACTCGACTGTACTTGGCCATCGTATACAACGTAATTTTATTATGTTGACATTGGAATTAATTTCTGACTAAAACATTGCATGAAATTTAAGCAAAAACAATTATATTGCACTGATGTGTATTTTTTTTTCAAGATTCACTTGAACATTTTTAATGGTTAAGCTAAAAATGTTTCGATTGTTGTTTTCTTCCAAATCATGATGTATTCAAGCAATGCTTTTAATTTGTTCAAATAATGTGAAGAAACATCGACTTATGGGAACACAGCACGTGCAATTTGGACAACTGAATGTAGTGTCAAAGGAATGATAGGTTCGCGTTTTAATTTGTTCTAAGTGTACGTTATGGATATCGTAAGGCGACGTTAAGGGGCAAAACACAACGCCTGAATGCAACACGGTGATCTACAGCACGCAGAGCACGTTCGTGCAAACGTTTCGGACAATTTCTGGAGAAATAGCGAACAGAACGTGGTTAGGGTTGGCTCTGTCAAGTACTAGAAAGTCAGTTAATTTCCATTGGATATGCTTCATGCTGCTTTAAACTCTAATGAAATCAGCTGACAGGGATAAAATATTCCAAAGCGTGTGCATATTATAAGTGACAGCAAAAAAAAACACAACCACATCGAAATATATAAAGTCTATAATATTGATTCATATTTATTTTCAGCCATGGTTAACATAAACGTGATGCATTTTTTTCCGTGACCGATAATTATTTTCGCTAGCTTGTGCACAATTCATGTATCTTCCTATTTTGAGTTTTAAACACGTAAACTATAGTTTGCAGCCTGAAATCTTTCTAACTTTATTGACAATTCTAGCGGCAGCTTAATACCATGAAATCACATTTCCATGCTCTGCATTTAGAAAAAAAAAACAAACAGTGTATATACGTATGAATGATAAGGCATCTCAGAAAAGTATACGGGAGGTTGTTCACGGTTTTGTAAAATAACATCTAAGCAAATAATTATTATTGTTGTTGTTGTTGCGATATTGTGAACATATGGTTAGGTTTCTAAGGCAGGAGTGTTAGTTTCACTCTTAGTACCACTTTTACGCCATTTTACTGTTTACCTTTTTTCTACTTGATATAGCTGCAAACATTCTGGCAATGTTCTCCCGCTCTCTCTGTTTTTTTTTGTTTACGAAAATACTCATATCTGTAGCTTTAAACACCAGAAGAAATTGGTATTTCAAACAGCCAGACATGAGTCGCATTATTTTAGATTTTTGTTTTTTTAAATGACATCGGCACTGGAATATGACTCGAGCAAGTGCACACCCTTATGTAAAATACGCAACAATAAAAACAACCGAAATAAATGCGTTGGCTCTGTGATTCTCATTGTGATAACGACTAAGCTTACGTTTTCTCCTGCCTATTTGTTCAGACACTTAACCTATTTGTTTTAAATATGTAGTTCTGGAACAAAGGCATGACATCTAATTTAGGAGCAGAGTGTCCACTGTTATTTATTTTTAAACGTGATCACATAATGGGAAGATAATGAGCTACGTCTTCCGTGTTTCTTACAGAAGTGGCAAGCCAACACCAAAAAATATACCCGATCACATTCCATCTCAGTGAACTGCTTAAGATGTAAAGGTTAAAGATATGGTTTTATACGAAGCTCAAAGCCTATATTACATTCACCAAATGTATGTTATGTGTCGCAACAATACATTATTCTTATTAATATGTATAATGTTTATTGAAGGTTCAATGTGAGTGTCCAATAACGCTGGATTCATATCCATAACATACACATATAAATATAACACATAAGCCGATTATTACTGACCTTAATAAAGATCACATTTTGACAATGAATTTAATAAAACGTGCCATAAGTTTGATTTGACATTCAAAGCTTTCCCGAAAAAAATACTCCGGATGCTTTTAAACTTTTTAAGAAAAGACGATTTTTTTTTATACTGTAAAGTATATTTTTTATTTTTTCAAACAAAATAAATGTGTTGGCTACAGAGTCAATGCTGCAACTTAAAAATGGTGCAAACATTTTCTTGGTTATTTCGGTAAAGTCACGTAGAAGGGAAATAATAAAATAATAAAAATAAAGCATAAGATAAAATTATCACGACGTTTCGGCTACAACGCAAGCAGCCGTCCTCAGGTGGTGAAGAAACAGAGCTGTCGGAAGAAACAGAGCTGTCGGGAAGACGCTGTCGGAAAGACAGCTCTGTTTCTTCACCCGAGGACGGCTGCTTGCGTTGTAGCCGAAACGTCGTGAGAATTTTATTTTATTATGTTTAACTTTTATTATTTTATTATTTCCCTTCTACGTGGTGACTTTACCAAAAGAACCAAGAAGATGAATCCCTGCAGTCACGAAAGCTTTAA